CTTATACAGCTCATTTAGCAATATATGGCTGGTCATATTCATATTAATGTAAACCTCTTCTTGCTCTAGACCAAGGGTTCTCAACGCCCCCAGGCCACGAACCAGTACTGGTCTGTGGCCTATTAGGAACTGGGTCATAGCAGGGAAACCTCTTCTTGCTCTAGACCAAGGGTTCTCAACCCCCCCAGGCCACGAATCAGTACTGGTCTGTGGCCTATTAGAAACTGGGCCTCATAGCAGGAGGTGAGTGGTGGGTGAGCGAACGAAGCTTCAACTGTATTTGCAGCCGCTCCCCAGCACTAGCATCACTGACTCAGCTCCACCTCAGATCATCAGGCATTAGCTTCTCATAGGAGCACTGGTCCCCGGTGCCAGAATGATTGGGGACCACTGCTGTAGACCAAGGTTTGGCAAACTACACCCTGCAATCCAAATTTAGCACAGGGCCCATTTTTCGTAAATAAAATATTGAAACTCAGCTACACACATTCATTTAGGTCGTGTCTATGGCTGCCTTTGTGCTTCTACCCAAGAATAAACAGTTGTGACAGACCATATTGCCCACAAAGCCAAAAATATTTGCTATCTGGCCCTTTACAGAAAATATTTTCCAAACTCTGCATGGACCAAGAGTGAAGGAAGTGAAGTTTATGTCTTCCAATCAATGGTATTTTATCTAGTGTATATAGATTTAATAAAAGATACAACAGAGAACTCAGAAGCTAGCTTATACTACAGTGTAGCCTAATGACTAAGAGCAAGAGTTTTGAAGTAAGACATGCTGAGTTCAGAGAAGCTTAAATCTTATGTTCACAGTTGTGTAATCCTGGACAAGTTGCTGAACTTCCCTGAACCTCAGTTTCCCCTCCTATTACTGGCATGCTAGAGCCTGGGGAATCATGATGGTTACCTCTAGTTCATCCAAAGTGGACAATCGCCCCTGAACCAAGAGCTGATATCATATTCCATTATCAACACTGAAGGCTGTTGCAGACAAGGGACAAGTTGCTGAAGGTACCTGCAGACAAGGGACAAGTTGCTGATTGAAGGTGGCTATCATGACTCCTAGAAACTTGGTCACAGAATTTAATACCTATGTGGCATGAAGATCAAGCTAAAATCTCTAAAGGACTCCCGGAGGGCAACCTTTCCTGGAACAGAGAGCTGTAGACCTGTTGGAGATATAGCATCAATCTTTTTCCATTCCTAGTCAAAGAAGTCCCAGCATTTACAGACAACAGATCACCTCCCTCCTCAATTAATCTTGTATTGTTCTTCTTGGTATACAGACCAATAAAGTCTATTCTTACTCTTTTATGAGCTTTGCAGGACAAGTAATATGTAGCAAAATAATCTGGCCCATTGTAGCTTCTCACTGGGTGTTTGCTGAGTGGATCACAGAGTCAGTTTGTTAACATCGATGCCCTTCTCACTACAAAAAAACAAAAATTGGTCATCCTCAAGCCAAGAGAGCACATGTATAATAGAGAGACCACCAACAAAGGATCATCAAGTGATGGTAATGGAAGTCCCTGAAGCAACATGTCCCCAGAACAGTACCTGGCACCATGAGGTACCCCTCGGCCTTCAGTGTCTACATACGGAATGGAAACTCTGAGTTGCGCACTTGCTGTTCACCACCTCAGGAGCAACAAATATGAAAGGCCTAGAAGCTCTCATCTACTGAAGACACATGACAGCTGAAGATGCTAGATGCCCCCTTGATAGTGACACCCAGAGAAACCTGCAGAAATTGTCCCCAGAAAATGGTCTATGACATGTCCAGACATCCAGAGAGCTGCTTTCTCCTATGGTCTCCCACAGGCCTGACTGCCGGGGCATGGAAGGAAGAGAGGTGAAGACAGAGGAGTACACATCATGTTGTTATTTCAGGCCTGCCTTGGAGAAGAGTATTGGCTAATGACTCTGAAAGAAAAAGCCATCTGAAATTCATTCCAAGTTTCTCAGCCACCTACCTTTGAGATTTAACAAAACCGGGTATGGTAGAGTTCTGGTATGCTAGTCCAGCTCTCCTTCTGCAGCTCTGCGTGAGTCACTCAATGTCTCTGGACCTCAGTTACCTCATCTGTAAATGGAGGACAGAAGTCAGGATTCAGTGAAATAATGTATGTAAATCACACTACTAGCACAAAGCAGATGCTCAACCAAAATTAGTTATTTCCCTCTCTTCTTAAATCTTGAGGATCACGACAGAGAGAATCGCTAAGTATGAATTAACTAAAAGCTTATGAACTAAAATATAAGCCCATGTTTGGTTCAATTCCATTGTTGATTTATCTTCTTTAAGGTGTCCTGATCGATGAAATCCTCAATAACATGGAAAGAGCAACTCAGCCATTGAACCACAGAAAACTTGTCATGTATTCTGCAGTAAGTATTTTTGTCTCTGTTCAGCATCCATTTGTTCAAGTATGGGATCTCTCTGAGGAGTGGGCCTCGTCTCATCATTTTCCTATCGCCCAGTAGATGGTAGACACTTGTTCAATGCCTTTAAAATTAAGTATGTAATCATGATCCTTGAGGAATTTACAATGTTACACTGACAAGAAGACAAGTGAGCACATAAACACTACACAAAGCCATATAGAAATGCCACACAAGCCAGTGCTTTGGTGCCTGGGAGGAGGGAAGCATCCACTGGAGGAGGAAAAGCTGAGTGCAGGACTTGGTGATGAACTGGAATGTGGGTGGAAGGCAATGATGCAAATGAAGATAAAGCCACAGATAAAGACAATGTTTCAAGCCTCAATGACTATAAAGGTGGAAATATCAACAGAGGTGGTCTTGGGCCATGTGAATATACCAGTTAGACACTTGGGTTTGACATGCCAGGGGATCGTCTGAGTGAAAAACTCCAGATGGCAAAGAAGATAGAAGAGAGAAAGGGCGAGAGAGCTGCAACTTGAAGTTAGAGCTACATTTGGGTACAGAAAGAAAAGAAAGGTCTACGGTCATGCTACCCTGAACAAGCTCGATCCCATCTGATCTCAGAATCTAAGCAGGGTTGGGCCTGGTTAGTGCTTGAATAGAGACCACCTAGGAAGACCAGGTGCTGTCGGCGTAAAAAGTAAAAAAATAAGGGATCGTAAACTGACAAGGTCCTTGTAATCTGTGAGGTTAACCAAGGATTGCCTGGGAAAGAAAGAAAAGGAAAGAAGGAAAGAAGGAAGGAAGGAAGGAAGGAAGGAAGGAAGGAAGGAATCCTCTGCTTTTCTTTTCAGTCTTCCCATCCCTTTTTTCCTTTTCCACCTCCTATTTTCCTCCCTCCCTCATTTCTTTCTTCCTCCTTTTCTTTTCCATTCTTTCCAAAATCCCATTGGCACCTGGGTAAACACATCATTAGCAGTATATTCATTTGTACTTATCTAATATATATATATTTTAAAATAAAGTCTTTCCGGCTCCCCTCATCAGGAGATGCAGTTGGAGAATTCCAGGGATGCATCACGTACTGATGCCTGTCTGTGGAGTCTGGAATGAGCCGGGAAACAGACAATAGTGTAATGACTCTATCTTTCACCCATAAAGAGCTCATGGAATATAGTGCTTCCTGGAGAAAGGAAGTCCTGAAAAGGCAATCCTACTAGTTCTTTAGTTTCTAATCTGATTCCCTGTTCTAATTGTGTGACTTCTGGCAAGTCTTACATCTATAACTCCCTTTCTTTCTCTAGTAAATTGGTTCTCACCTTTTTTGAATATGCGTGTGCTGCAACATAGTCTATGCAAACAAATGTTATACCTATCTTTTAGATATGGAAGTTGAGGATTTCTTAAGATTAGATAACTAATCAGTGACTAAACTGGGACTGAAAACCAGTCCCCTATGCCTCCCAGCCACTCTGGGATAAACATTTAACAATTATTTTTAAGCTACACAATCTAGTTCCTTACATTTTATCCTCCCTAAACATTTATAACCTCACATAGTCTTCCTCAATTAAAAAAAAACCATAGATTATTCTAACCTATACAAAAATATATAATCTAGCTCTAAGGTGTTCCAAAATATTTTAAAGTTTAATGAAAATCAATGACAGAAGCTAAAACAGAGATACTACTGGGAAAAGGCATGGGACAAAATCAGAAGACCTAGCTTATGTTTAATTTCTTCACTTTGGGGGTTATATAATATTAAGCAAGTTACTTAATTTCCTTGGGTCTGTTTCTTCATCTTTTAAATAGAAATAATGATATGTATGTAAATCTCATTGCCTAGCACACAGCAGATGCTCAGTCAAAATTAGTTCTTCTCCTCTCTACTTCCTAAGTCGTTGCGCGAATGGGAAATTTAATCAAATCAGAAACCATCATGATGCTCTACAAGCGTTTAATACATATCTTTTGAATGTAAATCTGAACCAGAGATAGAGGTCAAAAATGATTTATTTCAAATCTCTGTAGCATGACACTACTGTGAGTGGCCTACAGATGGCGCTAGATGTTTTCAATGGAATCCTTCCTCCCTATGCTTCTTGTCACTTAATGGAATTGTACCTTGAGAAAGGGTAAGTGTCTAAAAGGTACCTTTCAAAATTAATATCACTGAACCCCAGATTTTGTTATTATTATTGTTGTTTTTGGCATAAATACATTCTTAAAATATTTAATTTTTAGTTAGATACATTTAAAATCATGTACTACATAAATAATTCACTCGGTTAAAAATATTGCTTTTTTTACTTTAACATTTTATGTAACAGTTTTATCTAAACTCATTGTATGCATCTTGACTTGTGTCCTCACCACTAGAGCCAAATGTTGAATCCCCTAAAACTGTTTACCAGATATAGTAACTAATAAAAGTAATTTTGGCTACTGTACAAATGAACCTCAAATTCTCAGAGATTTAACCCAATGAAGATTTATTTCTCACACATCTAACAGTTCAGTGCAGATATTCCTGGCCAATAGGAAGTGACTCCCCCATGGTGTGATTCATATATGGTGACTCAGAGACACAGAGTTCCATCTTTTGAACCTACTGTTGTCAAGAGTGCTATGTTCACCTGTAGGCAGTTGTAGAAAGGACCAAATAGGTGGACAAAGCAACCTGCTTATAAACCACCTCAGCCCAGAAGCAGCACCGTATCACTTCTACTTACATTGTACTGGCTAAAATTAGTCACGTAGTCCCACCGAGATGCAAGGGAGTCTGGGAAATATAGTCACTTCCGAGCCATAATGCTATTCTATGGAAAGGGAATCACGTACTTTGCTAGGCTTTGATTAGTCATCTTTGCCATACCATCATCTTGAGATAGAAATGCTGTCACTGAAAATGTTATCCTGCAATATAAATACTTATTCATATAATATTATGGAAGTTTTAAAAAACATATCATATAAGTGAATATTTGTAGTTACTACTATTCGTATGGATTTTTAAAGTGATGTTTAAAAAGGCTTGTTTATAATTTTCAAAAGTGGCAATTTTAAGGTTACTACCCCAAGAAAAATCACTAAATCCTACTTGAATTTCTCTCCTGCCGCTTTGGCAAATGGCCTCCACAAGCACCTCATACTAGCTTGCTGATATTGGTTTGGGCCAGTGGACCTTCCTCAAGCAGTACATTTTTTATTTTTTTGAAATAAAGAATTGAGAGAGTCCTCCTTAATATGAGAGAAGGTAAGAACACCCACCCCATCTTTCCGAGATATAATTTTACAAAGTCTTAGCTGTACATTCAAGCACATATGTTATATATTATTCAGTTCCATGTTTATGGCCTTGTTAAGGAGAGGGAAGTTAGATTCATTGAGGGAAAGACCAAAAGATACTGGGAGAGGAAAAGAAAATAGGAAGGAGCAAATGAGAAGCTTAAAAGGGAGAAACCAAGAGAAAGAATCTCCAACACCCCACCTGCCTCCCACTTCTTACTCAAAGGCTCATCAAATCACCCTCCAACCGTCACCTTTCAGCTCCTTCTCGGATTAAGTATCCTGGTCCCCACCTCCTATGCCCCTGGCCATCTAACAAACCAGCCTTCCCATTTCCACCCTCCGGATCTGGCCCACCTGTCCCAATCTCCTCATTCCCACCCCCAAACTGGCTAAACTCTGCTCATTCCCATAAATTCTTCCACTAGTCCCTCAACCAATGTGTTCTAGGCCAAGTGGAGAGAAATTTCATGACAGTTCAACAACACAGAACTGACAGAGCTCTCTCCTCTGCCTTCCTCCACCAGAGAGTACTTCGTAGAGATGTACTATCGAAATGAGACTCAGCATGAGCCGTATCCCCTCACGCTGCCAGGCTGCACACACAGCTGTCCTCTGAGGAAGTTTGCTGAGCTGGTTGCCTCTGTGATCCCCGAGGACTGGCCCACGGAGTGTATGATCACGAGCAGCCACCAAGGTACTAAGGATGTGCTGGCTTAGGGTGTATGCGGACTCTTTCTTAGAGTGGACGGTCTTCGAGAATAACTTGACCATTACCCCCAGCTTTGAAAGAAATTGGTTTTGAGTAATAATTACATGTTACAGAGACCCCAATTTCAGGCAACTCTTACCTTTACACCTGGCCCTGCCCCCACTTGCCACAAACCTTAACTTGTTGTTGTTTTTTTTTTTTCAGTGTTAATATAAAAGGGCATCAGTGCCAAAATATAATCACAGATAAAACTTTGGTCAAATTTCATGAGGCTGCCATGAGCTATATGATTAACCGCATAAGACCTTTTGTTGTTTAAAGACTCTCAGATTTCTTTTGAGCAGAATTAAATAAAGTTGTTCTTTAAGTGTCTGAAGTGGTACAGATTTCCCACAAGCTAGGTGAGAGCAAAGAAGGAAAACTTTAATCTTAGGCTAATGAGCAAAGGACCAACTAACCAATTAGCTACAGCCTTCTCACAAGGAGAAGCGAAGAAATGAGATACACTGGAGAAATCTGGAGAAATCATTTATACTGGGAAACTGGTTATTTTTGATATTTTTGTTAAAACATATTGGGTGGCAGAATTAAAAAGTAAATAGATTTTTGTTTCCTTTGGTCCTGGAAAAATCGTGTTATTTTTGAAGAAACCAAAAGCAAACGCCAGAAAACTTTGATATATGTAATATATATGGCAGCTCTTGGAGTATATACATCATAACAGATAAGTAATTTGATGACAGCAAGATATTCAGACATCAGCCATCAGAGATGAGAGCCCTTCATGAGTGGCGTTTCTCTTAAAGCTCCAATGGTAATAGATGTTGAATGTGATTTAAGAGAGGAAGTATGATGACACATATGAAATTGGAACAAAATCACAAATGTTAGAATATCCTGAATGTCTCCAAGATCAAAATCCATTAGAATGTTGAGAGTGTGGCTGTGGTATCTATTCTGAGGACAAAAGCAATGGATAAGGTTTGATTCTGGTATCTACAGAAAAACCTAAGCACTCTGAAACCTATCACTATGTAAGAAATCATGTTCAAATGACAACTCTTTAAAGTCCTGTAGATTTGCCATGTGGCAGATGCAACACATCTAAAGACCAACATGCTACGTCACTATTATGGCTAAAGATGAAGTGGTTTCTGGAGATAAGCTTATACTGGATGCCAGCGTCTAGAGCATAGTCATTCCCTCTCCTAGTTGGTCATTGGATAACTGACACAAGACATTGATTGATATGTTTATTTGTATTATTTCTTTCCCAAGTAAATATTTGGCCCTGGGCCCTTCATCTAATCATTTCTTCTCTTCCATGCATGTAAGTTTCCTCCAGAAGTGAGCCAAATGTAAAATAGTGAATAAAGTCATTATTAGGAAGTTCAAAAATATTACTTTTTTTATAATGAATTTTGAAGTGTGTGTGTGTGTGTTTTAATTATAATAAAATTCCTTAAGGACAGATTTTGGGGACTCTATTTTTGTTTGGGAGTTTTATTTAACGTAACAGGAGGAAAAAATATATAAAGTAAAATTATTTGACTGGCTTAAATTAATATTTTACATTGAAATCTATTTAGTTTGCACTTTATTACTTATGATAAAGACTAAGCTGATGGATGGCTCTGCTTCATCTATTTAATATAAAACTTGCTAAGAAAATGCCATTGGGAATACAATGTAGTAGAGAAGTAAGGAGATACATATTAGACAGAATAACAAAGGTAATTTATATCTTATGCCTACAAGGGTTGCTATGGAAACAAGAGTTAACTGAATTTGAAGGGAAGGAGGTAGTAAGGGATATCAGGGAAGGCTTCCTGCAAGAGGTGACAATTGAACCATCTGAAATCAGTTTGGACAGAGGTTTCTAGTGGTGTGGTACAAGGTACTAGAAAGACATTTATCAAATGTCCTTGTGGCTTGAAGCTAGAAAAGATAGAGGAGTTACTTGGCAGAAAATTGAGGGTTCAAATTGATTCCCACAGGTTTCCTTCAAGGGACAAATTCTAATGAGATAAAATGTCATCTCCACAAGAGCAAGGATTCTATCTGTTGTATCTATCCTATCTGTATTCTATCTGTTCTCTGCTATATCAGTCCTCAAGACTTGGAAGGGCCTGTGTCTGGCATAGATTGACACTCAATGAACATTTCCTCAATGAGTGTATAAATTACTTTTCCTGTCTGAACCTACTCTTTTCTATCTTGGTAAGAAGCAATACCCAGTAAGTTATTTTTGACCCCCAACTTCTCCCTTATCCTCCACTGCTAATCTGTCACTGCTTCTTATCAAATCTACCTGTGGTATGTAAGTAGAAATCCTTTTCTCAAAACACCACTATCAACAATTCAAGATCTAAATAGGGCAAAATATAATAAAGCAGGAAAATATGTTATTAAAAAGAAAACTTGGGGACTGGTATGCTGGAGCCAGCTCAAGCAGATCAAGAGTGGAATGTGCACACTGCTTCCCAACTCCGAGTTCGATGACTTCATTTCGGCAGTTTGAAGTTGGTCATAGTGCCATGGCTGGAGTATTTTTACCTCAGAAATCAGCATATGCCACAAATCAGAGTTTTGTTTTCTGATTTTTGTTTTATTAGATTTAGTTACCAGCACACATAGAAAACTTGTTAAGAGTCTATAACACAGGGTGGTCTTCAACAAAGTGAATTCAATATTTGAACTTCTTTAAGAAAAAAGGATTACACACGTCCTGCATGGTCTCTGAGAGCAATGCTAAGGTCAGCAAGTACACATTTCAGGAAGGCAGATTAGATTGTGTTCAGTGTTAAGAATATCTAAGACCAGAAGTGGCCTAGATGATCTATCCCTTGCCTTGGCAGAGACACTACAGAGCAGGGTGAAGCAAGGAAGTTTATAGGGGTGGCATGACGACTTAGTAGGGCCACCAAATTTAGCAAATAAAAGTACAGAATGCCCAAATGAATTCAATTAATAGCTCTACCTGCTGAATGTTTATAATTTACTGGGCTGAATTAAGGACATTTAGGGTTTCCTGCGAAAGCCAATACTGGAAGCAGGACAAAACCATTAAATAAGGCCATGTCCTTATACATAGAATGTCTGTCAACCCTATACCTTAGTGCATTTCCACCCCTGCAATCTTAACTGTATCTATAAGCAGTGTTTTTAGCTAACGTTACTAGACCCAATTAATTTTATTCTCATCAATTAAATCAACTGGAGACATTGCTTGGAAGTTCATGATAAGTCTAAGTTCCATACTATGTTGGGAAGGCAAGGGAGAGAGGGAGGGAGGTGGGGAGGCAAGCAAGGAGGAGAGGGATACAGAGAATTAAACAAGCCCTTACTGTTAAGTGAGTACTATAATGAAGGACTAGAGGTACCTATAAGAACATACAGCAGAGGCAATTAGCATAAGTCTAAGGGGTCAGAGAAGGGTTCCCAAAGGGGGTGATGTTCAAACCAAAACCTAAAGAAGGGAAAGAATTAACTAGGTGAATCGTGATAGGGAGAGGAGAATGTTATGGACAAAAGAAAGAAGATGTATACAAGCCAAGAGGCTAAAGACAACATGGGGCATTTTAGGTACTGGAAACATTATGTCTGGTGAGGGTGCAAAGAGATTGGAGAGAGACAGGCATTAAGTGTCTCCTGGGTCCGGTTGAGCAGCTCTGGTCGTTAGAAGGTTTTAGGCAGAGGACCGATGTGACTGGCTTCTTGTTTTAGAAAGACCTCTTGGCTTCAGAGGAGGGAATAGATTGGAGAAGAATGGGATCGAGGGCAGGAAGAACAGTTGGGAGGCTGTTGCAATAATCTAAGCACTAGGATAAGTGAAGGAGAAAAGCAGGCTTATTCAAAGAAGGAAAAGAGAGAGTAGACAAGACTTGTGAAGTTAATGGCAAAAGGAAGAGGCCTTTGATACATAGTGCCAAAATAGTTTTCAAAAAAATAATACCAATTCACAATGCCTTGAGCAGCTTTCATGTGTTCCCATGTAGTAGGGCATTTTTTTCAGTCATTATCTGCACTAGACCTCTTAGCAATATAAGATAGAATTGATCACTCTCTCTTTTCTCGGATTCTAGAACATTATTCTGTCAAATTCACAAAATCCTTTACAGTACAAGGGAGCATATAATTTAGAGAGAGAATCTCCTTAGTCTTCTCTTTGTCTTCCTTGTTCAGTTCCTCTTGGACTGATACCTTCTACCAACCCCCTAAATGATCACATCCCAGGGCCCTGTCCTTGGTTTCCTCATTCCACACTCGCCATACGCCAGTACTACCCAGGCCTCCATCTTCTCCATCCAGAGCCCTTATTTCCACATCTACATATAGAATTCTATACCTATTTTCTCCAGCTGCCTATTGATCGTCTCTACCAGGATAATAACCCATCTCGATTCTATATTTGAAACAAAATTCATTATCTCCTCCACTCCAAACTGATCCTTTTTAATGTGCTTCCAATCTCAATTCACAGCCTAGTCATCTTCTCATTCACTGAAGGTAGAACCCATGGGGTGAACTTCGCCACAACCTCTTCATTACCAGTACATTTAGTTCATCACAGAGTCTGCCAATTCTACTTCATGAGGATCTCTTGAATTCCTTCATCTGCATTCTCAGGGTCACAGTCTAATGCTGACCATGCAGTATCTTGACAAAGGCATTTTAATAGCTCTCAACCAGGCCTATAGTGTCTCTATCATTTTATCTTTTCCCACAGTTTTGGAGTTTTTCTTAAAACACAAATTGGGCCATGTCACATCCATGTGTAATAATTGCTGATGATTTCCATTTGTCCCATGGCAAACCAGACCTCCTAAAACCTGGACCCTAAATCATATATCTGGTCTCACCTTGCCATAACCTGTATTATAGTCACATGCAACTGCTTATTATTTCCTGAACATGCTCTTGTGCTATGCTACTCATTGTGTCTTATGGCCAAATCTGATTTACCTCTAAGGCCAGCTCAAATCTTATCATTTTCTCAGAAGATTTTCCAAACTCTTTCTCTTCCAAATAGAACACTTTGTATTAATTGCAACTTTCCCTCTGCTCCAATGGTATATCTTTTACACCTCCATTTTACTATTTATCATATTATCTTATAATTGTCTGTCTGGTTCTCCCAGAAGATATTGATCTCCTCAAGAACAGAGATTGTGGAACCTCAGAACCCAGCACACAGCTGGCTTGGCATAAGGTGTGTGCTCACTGCATGCCTAGGAAGGAACAAAGAAAGAAAAAAGAGGGAAAACGCATTCCATGGAACTACCATGACAACATAGCCAATAAAAATAACTGAAAATCAATTTCCGAATATAGAAAGTCAGTCATGAACATTAATTTTTAAGAATCATTAGCCTCTGCCTTCCTCCCTCATTTCCATTTAGTCCTTTCCTTCCTTCTTCAATTATCTTTGGTTCCTTCCAACTTTACATTAGCTCCATCCTCAGTACTAATGGCACCCATCCACCAGGATCTAATTTTATTGATATTCATCTTCTCATGATAAGAGGCATCCTGACAGCATAAAAAACTAAGAGTTGAGAACCCAGGCATTTAGATCATTAATTCATTCCACAAAAATGTATTGAATGCCTGCCATGTGGCAGGTATTGTTCTAAGTGTGTGAGATACATTTACAAGCAAAAAAGACAAAGGTTTCTGCCTCATGAATCTTACATTCTATTAGAGAGAGAGAGGGATGAATAATAAATAATAAACATAATAAATAAGTACTTTGAAAGGTGAAGATCACAAGCACCAGACTGGGAATGGGTGTGGGGAGAAGGCATATAGGTTGCACCTTTAAATAGAAAACTCTTAATGAGAGGATGAGATTTGGGCAAAGAAGGTGATGGAGTTGCCTGATGCAGAGATTTGTGAGAAAAGCATCCGAGCAATGGTAACAATATAGCAAAAGCAGTAAGGGGAGTGTGCTTGGCATGTTTGAGGAAAGATGAGAAGGCCTGTGTGGCCAAAAGAGAATAGTGAAGGAAAAGGGGTAGGAGAGAAAATCCAAGAGGTTAAAAGGCCAAGTGATGAAGAGTCTCATAAACTATTATCATCAGGACTTTCATTCCAAGTGAGATGAGCATTCATCGCAGACTCTGTCTTAAATAGAGGAGAGCCATGGTTTGATTTGAAGTCATTTGGATGCAGTGTTAAAAATAGACTGTAGGGAAGAAAGGATGAAAGCTAGGAAGCAAGTCAGGAGAGCATTGTAGTAGTCCCGGCAAAAGATGATGGTGGTTCGAAGCAGGGTGGTGGCAGAGGAGGAGAGAAATCGTTGGCTTCTGGCTACAGTGTTTGAGAGAACCAATGGGATTTCCTGACAGATTGTGAGAGAAAGAGAGAAGTAAAGGAAGACTCCAAGAGTTTTGGCCTGGGACACGAGAAGAAAAGTGTCAACTGAGATGAGGGAGGCTGCAGGAAGAACAGATTTGGTGGCGGGGGCGCAGAAATGGAGAGTTCAGTATTGGAATGCCTAATAGATGTCCAAGGTAATATGTCAAGTTCACAGTTGGATATATGAGTCTTGAGTTGAGGAGGATTTAAATTTGAAAGTCAGTTACTGAATAGATGGCTTTTAAAATCATAAGACTAATAAGATCCAGTGTATTCCCACACAAATGCAATTACTAGCTTAACTTTAGCCAAATTATCTAATCTCTCCACTTCTCATTTTTCTCATCTCTACAATGATAAGGTTAGGCTAAGTAAGTGCTTTTCAGCTGTGTTCCATGGAGTGCTAGGGTTCTGTAGAGAGCTGCCAGGATCAGACATTTGCTCTCCCATTGCCAACTCCAACAAGCGGTTCCATATTTTTACAGTGAAAATCAGATGTACATTTAGAGATGGTACAAATCAATATTTGCAATGTATATACTATAGTAGACTAGATTGTGTGTGTGTGGAAGGGGGGTAACTTTCCAGATGAAATAATGAATAGCATCTCATTAAAAAAACGACCCCATATAGCTGCATCATGTCTGGTCAGCTGTCAAAGGGACGTGTGTAAATAAAGGTACAGATTAGCACTAGTACTCAGTTATTCTAAAAATGTTTGCCATAGTCAACATGTGCTCGAGGTTTCTTCTCTAAAAGATATTTACTGAAAATTAAATTCAAAGACCAAAAGATGGTATTCCATTTCTTTTAGACCCATGTAATGATTGCAATTGAGTATTCAGAAATTTCTTTGACTCTGAGACGGTGAACAATTAACAATTTAATTGTAGGAAAATGCATGAAGTTAAGGCTGCAAGAGGACCTCAGAAATACTTCAGTAAGCTGCCTTTCCTTTGCAGTGGAGGAGCTGAGGCCCAAAGGTCAAAGGTCATGCTGGAACTGGAACCTAAGTCATCTCGTGACTTCTAGTCCAGTACTATTTTCACCACACTATGGCTGCTTCAGCAATGGCACTGAAATTTACAATTAAGGCAGAAATCAACACTGAATGGTAATCTTCATATTATTCCAATTTATTAATTTTACTTTAATGCTCTTCCTATTTTCCCACAGTTCTAAAGATCATCCTTGCTATTGCCTTTTGCCTGGTGTCTGGTGTCTTAGTGGTACTGCTGCTTACCCTCATTCGCCATGGGTCCTGCTGGCAGAGAAACTCCTATCGGACCATCTGAAGGGACCACTGAAGAAAGGCAGACATGCCAGGCCAACCTCCTGTGAGGCAGCATCCCTCAGTGATGAAGCGTTCAAAGGACACTTTCACTATGTGGGCATCACCTTGCTCACACCCATCTTTTCAAGCCTGCCTAGAGCAAGAACTCCTAGTGATCCAGGGACAGCTGCTGGACCTACCGATGAATGAAGACCCAGGTTGCTTAGGTCTCCTCGCCATAGTGCAGGCTTCTCATTCAGCTGTAAAGAAGCTCTCTACACAGGTGTCCAGAGAGAAATGAGAAGTCAAACTCCAACTAACCTTTTGCCTGCAAAGAGCAAAAGGTTTCAAGGTGTGACAAAGACATAGATTAAAGAAGAGGAGATAATGAGGAGAAATTAGACCAGAAGTAGTATTATATAGGATGATTGTTAAGAAATAAGACACAATCAGAAGGTTTAATAAATCTTTTGTTCAGTCATTAAGTAAGTTTAATACAACACATAAAACACACTCCTGAAAAGAAACTCCTACCCAATATTTGATAGCTAACAGATTTCTCTATGTGTGTCTGTACACTAACACACATACATAAGGCTATCTTGAAAATGTCTTAGAAAGAGGTATTTAACTCTGAGAAAATGTAATATCAACTACTTTAGTTGTAGGTCAGGTCATTTTCCCCCACAATTTCTATAATAAGGAATAACTAGGAACTCCATGTAGCCATGGTTCTTTTTTTTTAACCTTTTTCCCGTTGAGAATAAAAAAAAAAAAAATGCAACTGCCAGCGTTCATTTAACATCATGCAGAGGATTGCTAGGTTTTCTGGAATGTGACATTTTCAGCGATGGAACTACTAAAAACGGAATGCTATAAACAGAATGATGTCATTTGTTTCCAAAGGCTATCGATATACTAGAGCAATGCAAAAATAATGATAAAAGTGAGATATTTCATGGCAAACTTTGGGGATGAGGTTAGGACTAATCCGCGAGATTTCTCGGGGTAAACACTGCGGCCACAGGCACCTCTTGAGAGTATTCTTGGGGCAAACGGGAAATTAACCTCAACTATCAGAGCTGGATATCTTTGAAGTTCTGATTTCTTTATTTCATTTTAAAATTAGGAGATTTTACCTTAATAAGGGCTCTTCATGGCCATGATGAAACGATAATGAATTTTAATTGCTACAAGTAGATCTGAGTTTCTCAAGTGGTGAGGTAGATACAGAAGTAGACTGAAGGACGATGACTCACTGCTTGAGCTCCGTGCTGGCTTTAGGCCAAGTGGAAACAAATCTTAAACCTTCTTTTCATAATCTAAAAATGAGAAGTCTGGGCTAAATGAACATAGAAGTCACATCTAGTTCTCATGTTCTGTGAACAATTTTTTTTTTTTTTCATTTTGTGCTCTGGATTGGTCATTGTCCAAGCAAGCACTTTCATAAATGGTAACATCGTAGCCCAAAATTTATTCTAAACAACTTTACTCTGCGCTGAGCTTCCAACCATCTAGTTGGTGGGAAATTCAATCTCATTCATTGGTAGTGATCTTCAGTTCCGCAGGTTCTGCTAAAGATCCCAGAATGTACCTGGTAGAAAGAATGAGATGAAGGATCGCTAGGCTGCTGTCCACCCTGGTCTCCAATCAGCTCACCGTCCATTCTCATGTGGTGTTCTAAAGGCAGGCAGAAGACATCTGTGCCATGCCTCCCAAGGCCGCGCACTTGGAGTTCGGCAGTCTGGCATCGTCCAGGCCCCTAATTGGGGTGATATTTGTAAGCAGTGCTGGGATCTTTGACCAGCACAGAACCACCCTCCTGAACCCCACTCTGTTTCTTAGTCTCAGGAATTTTCCTCTCCCCTTGGATCCCACAGTTTCCACCTGTTAAACTCCAAGCACTTACCTCTATCATCCTCATTTTCTACATAATTCTCACTGAGCCTAGGCTATTGCAAACAAAAGCCTGAGAAGGAGTTGTCTTCTCTTGTCTAGGGACTGCTGCTTTATGCTGGAACACAGGAGGCACGTAGGCAAAGAAACGCAGGATCTGGCTATGTTCTTGGCTTGGGAAAGGGAAGAACATCTATAGCAGCAAGAACAATGGACAAGTTTCTGTCTCCATAAAGTAGTCAGCCATATCAATAAGGAAGCCACAACGTCTTATGCTAGTAAGTGACAAGACTTTAAAATAGAAGCATAAACAGAACCGCAAGTCACGAATTTTCTTACTCATTCAACAAACATCTGTGGAAGACCTACTATTTGCTAATTGCTGGCCTAGATTCTAAATTGTCTGTTCCAAATGTGCTTATTAAGGTGTTTGTTCCCGACAACTTCAGACAGGGCCAATAGAATGTAAAAGTAAAAACATTTACAAGCTTTTCCTCGTATCATCTTTTATTACTGTAAGTAGCTAAAAAGACCTCCTCTACTTTGGATTGGTTCAGAGAGTTTTTTTTAACATCCCCCATTTCTCGTCCTTCTATCCTCTTGACTATTGTAAAGAAAGCTCTCACTCCCAAATTACTTTGTTTACCTTCCATAGTTACTCTGTTGATAAATGCTGTAATTGTTTTTCATACTTTATGGCAGTATGCACATGTGACAAATGAAAATTCACAAGTGACAAATGATTTATAGTGATAAAGCAGAGAGTACAAATGTACTGTAACATTTTTCAGGAAATTAGTTAATCATCCAACTTAAACAGGAAAACTTGCAAATTCTCTACTGAAGAAAATGACTATTTAAGGTGGGTCAAAAGAGATCAGTTTAATCGACATGATGATAAATATTATTTGAAAGAAAATTGCTAGGGTTGAGATAAGCTCTGCTCTAAAACATATTCCCCACATTTGAACCAGAATATAAGCCTTTGAACAGAATTTGAATAATTCAATAATTACCACATCAATGTAGGGACATTCCCTACCACAGAAAATATCAGCAATGTATATGTAGGAAAGTTTTAAGGAAGAGTTGTACGTAGAATATTCCTAGCTAGAATGGCATGAAGAAAGCATTAAGAGAATATGATTATAAAAAGTATTTCATGGCATTAGAAGAGTACAGGCTTTCGAGGCAAACATTCAAACATGGAAGTCGTTCAACCAATAATCCTTTTTTATATTAGAACTGGCATTTCTTCTCCCGGTCCTATTCTCTATTCTCCCAACTTCCTGTTTTCTATCCTGTTCTAATATTGTCAGCATTGATTCTTTCTTCACAGCCAGGGGGGTTTCTTGGTAAGTGAAAACCAAAGTGTTAGTTTTCTCTTTTAAAATTCTCTTTATGGAAACCCCATTTGAGCAAAAATGAATGCCCGCAACATGTTAGTACTTTAGACCAGTGCTGTCTAATAGAAATATAATGCAAGCCACAAATGAGAGCTACATGGGAGATTTTAAATTTTCTAATAGCCATATTTTAAAAAGGTAAAATAAAGAATGAAATTAATTCTAATGATAAAATTTATTTAATCCAGTTTTTCCAAAATATCACTTCAACATATAATCAATATTTTAAATATTATAAGATATTTTACTTTTTTTTCTCATACTAAGTGTTTGAAATCTGATGTGTACTTTACCCTCACAGCACATCTCAGTTTGGACTAGGCACATGTCAAATCTCAACAGCCATATATAGCTAGTGGCTGTCATAAAGTTCTGCTTTAGATTATTAGATGATAATCTTTTAAAGCAGAGAGAATGTATTCTCAGCTATAATTTGTAAAATCCACTTTCAGGTTACTGTGAAGAAGTAAAAGTCATATTTTTATGTCTACATCTTACTATTTTTACATATGTAATGAATCGATAAAAGATTTTTCCGAAATGTTTTATTTGTAAACCTGTCTTAACAGTAGCAGTTCATAATTTTTTCAAAACGATCCTAAACTAAATGGACTAGTTCCTCTTATTAAGTGTCCTAAGAAGAAATTTGACAACGTATTTAAAAAATAAGTACTGCCAGATTGGGGGGAGGGTGACTTTTTAAAGTTTTATTAATTTTTTTTTATTAAAAGTAATTGTATTCAAAACAAAAATAAATGTAGAGACTACAGAAGAGTATAAAATACAAAATAAAAGCTTTTCCTACCCACTTTCAGTAATCAGAGACAATGCTGTCAACAATATCTAGTTTTTGTTCTTCTAGTGATTAGCATGAATTCTATGAATAATACCTTTATTCTCTGAAATTTTCACATCTTTCACTATTCTTATAACCCATGATATCCTCTTTCTTGTAGGTTTTTTTTTTTTTTTTTCATTTAAAAGATACATGAGTACTAAGCTTTCTGGTTCTAACGCGTCCAAATATGTCTATATTTTGCCTTCCTACTTAGCTATCAGTTGGCTAGACATAAAAGTTTTCAGGTTGAAAATCATTACCCCCCAGAATCTGAATGCAATATTTTGTTGTCTTTTAGCATACAGGACTGCTGATGAGAAGTCTAATATCAGTCTGATTCTCTTTCTAATGTAAATAATCTGCTGTTGTTCATTTTATTTTATATATGTACATACATATGTTTATGCATGTATATATGTATTGATGAGTCTTTTAAGATATTCTTTTTATCCTTTAAGTTCCGAAGTTTTACTAGGATATAGTCAGGCATGGATATTAGTCTGTTTTCTGTCTAATCCTGTATGGCTTACATGTGTCTTTGACTCAAGAAAATTATGTTTTGGAACTTGAATTTCCTGGATCTCTTTCCTCCATGCCTCAAACTTTTTTCTCATATTTTCCAGCTTTTAATCTTATTTTTCTACATTCTAAGAAATTACATTTTCAGGAACACCACCTTGGCATTCAGCAAATCCATTATCATTATTTTTATTTCCAAGAATTCTTTCCTATTTATTCATTGTCTCTTTTTCTTAGTGGCCTCTTCATATTTTATGAATGTAATCTATTTCTGGCTATCTTTAAGGCCACTACTTAGAATTTTTCAAGTTCTCTTGTGCTCTCTAAATAATCTCTGTTTTCTCTGGACTCCATTGTTTGAAT